GTTATCATTGGGCAAGCTTAGAAAAGCACGGAAAAAATATCATCAGTGAGAAGAAAATTAGATTAGGAATTTCTATCAAATGGCCACAGTCCTCAGAGTGACTTAAGAACGTTTTCCAGTCTAATTTTGAGATTTTTTAGTAGCTTCTAAAGGGCCGGGTAATATGCGTAGGTGGGCTTGCCTGATTCAGTTGTCCAACAGCAATTAGACAACTTCTTACTGCTTGTCTGTGGCTATCCCGTCCGTTATTTGGGTATTGCGTTACGGGCTGGTGGAAATGGTGGGGAATCAGAGAGCCATCCCTTCCTGTGGGCAACCGCTTCTGCAGGCTGGCATCTCTGCCGCTGGGTAACGTGGCTTTCCTCGCTGTACCCAAGGAATCCCTTCTCAGACCCAGTGTGCCTGCACTATAATCCGTGTTTAATAGACTGTTACTCCAGTGATTTTCAGGCCTCTGTGTCATAAAAGAAAGAGTTGGAGGTTTTAAGTTCGTAACAAGCTGAGGACTTCAGGAGAGCAAACAGTGTCCTGAGATACTGTGTGTCTAAGTCCTCAGATCAAATCTGATCTAGAGCAAATAAATGGACAGATGAAGGTATAATCCTGGAATTTCTATGAGCTGAGGGATAGTATTAAGCTAACAGAGAAATCCACTGCGTAGCGAGGATGTTATCTGATAATACTAAGTGCTTCTGGAAATGTCATTCCGTGGTTAGCTGCCTGCAGTAATGCTGTTCCTCATTCTGGAGCCCTTTATCTTGGGATACAAAATGAAGGGCAGACATTCATTAATGAAACCTTGCAGTGTTCCCATGGGATTTTGAAGGTTTTTATCAATTGCGAATCTGATGAAAAGCATTAAAACGTCCAAGGGTCACACTGTGAGTCTGTAACAGAGGTCGGCGTAGGACCCTGGACTTTTTGTGCTATACAGAGGTGGAACAGAACTGGCAGTAGAGTCTGTCCAGCCAGAAGTGGAGTGGAAGTTCAGGAGGGGAGGAAGACGTGTGAAGAGGTGGTGAAGAAGAGGCTGAAGTCAGATACTGAATCAGAGCTCTCGTAGCTTGCTTGTCTTACACACGAGTGGAAAATTTGTCAGAGATCACAGAAAATAAGGCTGGAAGGGATTTCGGGAGATCATCGCGTACCTGGCTGCCCCAGGAGAGGGGAGGGAAGGAAGCTCGTTGTTCCTGAACCTCACCTGACAGCAAGAGCTCTGCCGCAGATGGGTTCGATAGGCTTGAACGTACATTTATCTCTCTAGACAATCAATTCCAATGTATTACTGTCCGTGCCAAGAGAAGGCTTTGTCTAGTGGTTAACCTAAATATCTTCTGCTGTAAATTAAGCCATTTCCTTTTCAGCCTCGAGTGGCTATGGAGAGAGTCTTTATTATTGCCTTACAGCGACCTTTTACGTGGTGGCTGGCTGCCGCGGTGCCACTGTGGGCTTGCTAAAGCAGGCGTTGCCAACGCCAGCAACCCAGCCTAAGACTTTAACCCTGACAAGGTAAAAAGGGCAGTTCAAACCTTTATGTATTCATACTCGTTATGCAAAACTCTTCTGTCGTATAGTTCTGGTAGTTAGGAGTTACTGATTTACCTGTAAGCTATTTTTACTTCCCTTTAAAACAAACAGCTTCCCCCCCGCCCCCAACACCCACGCCCAACCCTCCTTCTAGTTATTTCTGGTTTCTTATAAGGAGTTTTGTAGCGTGCCTTTCCTGCAAAACCTCTCCTCTCCAGTGGTACCCACGGTGCTTAAAATCTGCTAAAATGGAGATTTGCTGCCAAATACTTTATGAACCATAAGCTTAAGAGTAATAGGAAGCTTTAGGTCCTAAGCCATCTCTGTTCTTTGGTCTGGGTCAAACTGATGTGTTTGCTGGCTCTGCTGTGGGTATATTTTAATGATGAAGTAAGAATTTAAGAGTACGGTTAGTAACTTCAGCACCGTCAGACCCAGCTATTAATCAGCCCTGGGTTATAAAACACTCTCCTTTTCTCTGACAAACCACCGTGGTGCAAGTCAGGAGTGCTGGAACACCTATATGGGACAGCAAATACCTTCCCTCCATGCTGAGGGCTGGGGAGCCCAGCTCCGTGCTCGTGCTGAAGGCCTCTGGGAAGGTCATTGCTTCCAGCTGCTTTTCATGTAATCCCATCGTTCCCGTTCTCCAGCCGTGTACATGAGAAATGCTTTAAACAACGTTTATTTTTCTGGCCATTAAGAAAACGCAAAGCAGCTTGTCATCTTGAATTCACTTTCAAAATGCTGTAATCAAATCATTTCTTTATGACAGTCCAAAAAAAAAAAGGCCACTCTTCAAAGGAATGGGGTGGGGCCATGTGTGAAAGGAGATGACACCAAGGGACTTGATTGCCTCCCTGCGATTCACAGTGCAGCATTCTGCAAAGAACGTGGCCAGGACATTGGAAGGCTTGGCTGGAAGCTGTGAACGCACTGAACTGGCTGATTTTGGCTGGCTGGCTCTCATCGAGGTTACGTGGCCACTGGTGGGGAATTGTGGGTGGGATTTGCAAGCAAGGAAGATGCTGCTGAACAAGCACTTCACCCAGTCCATGGGTGGAATCTCACAGTCTGTCCTTTTGGAATAGTTTAAGACACATCTCGGGAATTGTTGGGTGGAATTGCAGGTATTAGTTGTTTCTTATGGATCCCGGGTGATGGCAGTCTTTGGCAAGGGGAGGACCTTGCTAAGAGGACAGCCCTCCTTGCCAAGACCTGATGGCAGCAAATTGCAGACTGCAGAGGCTGAGAACTGGCAAACAAACCACCTCTAAGTTACACCAGTTATGAGAACGCCATTGCCTGAGACATTCTGAAGTATAGGTTGTTCCATCTTTAGATTTCTCTGCATATGAACGTGTAGAAGCAGACTCTCTAGCAGAGTCTACCATCTAATTTCCTTTTGCAGCAGGTACTCTTCTTCAGGCTACCTCTCATTCCCAACCAAGAATCTTAGTAATTCATTGGCGTGCCTGTTGCTATGAAATTTTGTGTGAGAATGAGTCCCCCCAATGTTTATTTCAGCTCCATTTTAGAATTTATTTTTATGGTCATCATTTTTAAAAAGACAAGAACAACTGTGTGAAAAATCTGCTTTCCAGTGTCATTCTGAAATTGTTGTTGATTTGCCATTGCCTTTGCTGGGATCCCATATTGTTTAGTAAATAATTCAGTGTTACATATCCAGACACCGTCTTGCAGAAGTTACAGGGATTTCTATACATCAGAAGGGTTTGTTGATAAGGTGACACGAGGACAGAAAATATTTGTGGAAAAGAAGCCTATAGAAAAGGAGAAATTCAGCTGACAAAAGTCTAATCCAGTGGCTGTGGATAAATAAAAGAGTAGAGAAGATTCTGGGGCCTGGGAGGCCAAGATGTATGAGCTTTATTCATCTTCTCCAAAGCTTGCACTATTCTGAATTCAGGACACCATGATGAAGCCAAAAGAAAACAGTTTTTGACAAAAGCCTTTCCCCAGCTTGCACCTTACCAGTGTAGTTACGTACCACCTGATATTTGTTTATTTTTTGTACCAATTTTGAGAATTCTTAAACAGTTTGGGGCTGGTTTTGAATGTAATTCTTCATGTCCCCAAAAGCCTGGCCCTGAGGGAAAAGTGTAGAGTTCCCCCTGTTGGATGTGGTCAGTGCCACCGCAGGGCAGGGGCAAGCAGAAAAGAAGCACTCAGCTCAAAAGAATCCCGTGTGCTCGCTTTCGAAGGAGCAGCTAAGGAACTGGTGTTTGAAAATGAAGGTGCACGGCGAGAAGGTGTGCTCAGGCCTTGGTTTGTACTCCTGACACTTCACATGGGCTACAACCCTGCTCGTAAACATGGCTGAGCTGTTACTTCTAACCTCCTTGCCTTGCTGTAGGGATCTTTAAGGCATTTAAGACATTTAAGACATTTTTTTAACCTGCAAAGCCATGTGCAGATCTCTGACCCGTGTCGATTCATGGGCTGTACAGTCCCCCCTCAAGCAGGGAGCCTCCTCGCCTCCTGGGGAGCCCAGCGCTGGTCGAGGAGGAGCATTCTCCTGCCCTCATGTCATGTGTCCACTCCTGAGAACACTCTACTCTGGACACCTGGATTTTTTTCTTGAAATTAGCACTAAATGCCTACATGATCATGCCTACATGATCATGACCACATGCCCATTTCCTAGACTTCCCAATCAACAGAATGGAGGTGACCCAGCTCTGCCTTTTGGGCGATGGAAGTGCTTGGCTAATTAGGCCTCAAATGGCTTGAGAAGGAAAGTTAGAAGGTCTGAGCATCATTGCGTGGCAGCTTGGAAATAGATCTATTTTTCTGAGTTCCATGGTGCTTTCAAAGAAGGTTTGTGAACCGAGGAAACACCACCTCGTGATGCTGTTGCTGACCTTACCTAATACCTTTCTAAATCTTCTCAGTGTTAGGCATATTTGCTAATTGAGCCTTTTCAGCCCCCTCCCTTCCTCACCGGCAGGGAAGGAGGTAAGTAGTCCTACCCACATTTTATACCTTAGCATATGCAGGTTTTAGTAACTTTTTCCTAGTCACAAAGCAAATTGCTAGAGGAATTCGAGAGGCAACCTAAGCATCCTGTGCCTGTAACCCCATTAGCAGTTCCCCTTAGGAGTATCAAGTCCACGGATCTGTACTTTGCATATAATTCTCACTCAGCTCAATACATTTTCTGTTTACCCATCTGCAGACTGGAAATAATGATAATGCCAACCTGTCAGGCATTATCTGAAGCTTACGGGTGTATAAAAAATGCTAATTGTTGAAGGTGAAAGTCTTGCTGATTGAACGTTGTTCTAGGCGGCTGTGGGAAATACGAGCAGATACAACAACCGTTGTGTTGGCTCATTTGCAAGGGCATCTCAAAGGAAGAAGCCACATTTTTGCGTGGCCTGCTGATGTTCCCGGACTGTTCCTGGGCTTGTGTGTTTGTAATTGTCCTTTGTCCTCTGTACCATCCACAGAGTCCCCCCCGGAGAGGTGCGGGCAGAGGCGCAGCATGCCCAGCGGGGTCACTGAGAAGAACCCCACCATGGAGCCTGCTGCCACAACGCCCTTCCGGGTCACGGTAAGTCTCTCTCCTCATCCTAATGATTGTTACGGCATCTTCATGATTGTTGTGGGGGTTTGCCAGAAGGGAGAGGAACTTGCTCATCCTGAGAGAAGAGGTGGTGTATGTGAAACTAGTTGATTACTTATTTTTAAATAAATGTGTTGCTGTTAGATACTGTTAGCAACGTGCAACTGTAAAATATTTCTTGGTAAAGCAGCAAGATTTGACTTGGAATCTGGAGCAGGTTTGAGTAAGTTGTTTCACTTGGGAGACATTCCTGATGGGGTTTCCTTTGTGAATCCTGGGGCAGGGCGGTATAGTCGTAGATGTATTTACTGGTCTGCAACTGTACAGTATGTCCTCATACTCCTACAGAGAGAAAACCTCCTGTAGAAGAACCTTTCCTTAACTAACAGAAAGCCTGCCAAGCTGGTGATTCCCTAGAGCCTGGTATCCTCTCCCCGCAGGAGCCTAGAGGAGCCATTCACTGTTTTCCAATTTCTTCAGTCCTTTTGCTTTGAGATGCTCTGCTAATATCACTGTTCAGTTGTGATAGCGGTACGTAAGGAACAAGAAGTCATTTGGGAGTGGAACAGCGCAGCGCCACTAACACGAATAACAGTGATACCAAAATCAAACACGACAAACAGGGTCTTGTTGCTCCATGGGCAAGGGTGCTGCTGTGTCCATTTTACAGAAGGGAGCCAAAGACCCAAAGAAGTCAGAGCTGGTGCGTGGCTGAGGGCTCTGTCGGTGCTGAGCCCTAGCTCTGCGGTGCTACAGCTGATAGAGCAGTTGCCAGCAGTTTCCCTGCAGGATGAGGAAGCTGAGTCTGAGCACAGGACCCCCCTCTCCCTGCCCTCTCATCACTCCTACAGGGTTGTTTGGGCTGGCTCATAGCTTTAGAAGATGGGCCCTGCCGTGCCCTGGAGATCAGTTCTGGAGTGAGTTAAAAGTCTTTGTTTCTTCTTTAGTTAGAATGTGCGCGGTGGTATTTATCACTGCCTCCCCACTGATAGAAGGCACCTCTCTAACATCCTGCAGATATCAGACAGACTTCTAGAGTGGATCACAGTAATTTTTGCCACAAGGATTGTGGTATCTAACAAAGAATATCAAATCCAAGTAATTGTTTAATTTAGGAGTACACTCAGCTGACAAATAGAAGCACAACAGTGGGATCAAAATAAGTATTTGGTTGAAAGTGGGCAATAAACGTGCAGCTGAGAGTAGCTGTTTTGGTTTGTTTGCTTTTGTTTTTTCCTAACGTATCATCCGCATGGACACGTCTATAGTTAATGCATCGCGTCTTGGGAGGCTGGGGCTTTGTATCAGCTGAAGTTACCAAGGTCTTTTGGGTAACATCTCCAGTAATAGAAAGAGAGGTATCTATTTAGGGATCTAAAAAAGTAAGTACAAGCATAAAGTACACACAGCTGGAGGTGGATATACCCAGTATGAGCAATGACCAAGGTTATATTTTCAGGAGGAAAATGCCTGTTATGTGTGGATAATAAGTTTGCCCAAGTGTAGTTTTATTCAGGGAAGAGGCAAACAATCTTGGAGCCGGTTTTCTCATTGTATGTTTATAGGTTTTCTTTGCAGGCCACACCTACTCTACAGGCTCAGCTACTTCATAACAAACCTGGATAGGTAGAACCAGAATTGCAAAGGAGAGACAATGGTGCAATCTAAAAAAAATCTGAGCACACCCAGTTCACCTGAGAACATTTGCGCCGATGGATGAATCATTAATAGCAGTTTGTCTAAGCAGTTTATTTTAGTTCTCTAAATTCTAAGTTTGTGAATGCATAGCATTCTCGGCCGAGCTATATTCTGTAGCCATTATATGCAAACACATGCTGATTATACGAGAGCGTGGGTTTGGTACTCTCCTATTTGCTAAATGAAATGGGAAGAAGCGATGAAAACAGTGAGTGGATGGCAGGAGATGGGTTCTGTTTTGAAGGAGCAAATACTGAAGACAATGAAACAGAAAAACAACGGCATATGAGATGTCTTTAAGCATTTGCTGTAGGGGCATGTTTGGTTTTCTTTTTCTGGAGTTGATGAGAGTTACTCTCCTAAGAGCTCCTTGTTCTAACAGGTCAGAACACAGAGGGGTCGTCTCTTGGTCTGATTCCTCTTGTGGCATCACCTTTTTGCCAGGCAAGGTGCATCTTGTTTCAATGCCAAGAGGGAAACTAAATATTTTTCTCTAACCCTCTTGTTCCACAAGCCATACGCCTCTGTCTGAATTGATTATCAGTTACAAATGCTCTAAAACTCTGAGCATGGCGGACAGAAACACAGTAAAGCTAACTGAATAGGCATGCTTTTGCTTTGTGCCTTTCATTTATCAGAATCTATCTCAGTAAATGAGGATCTTTGAACCTTAAACAATGTACTGCTTGATGAAAAAGGCAAGGAATGATGGGGAGATACGGATTATTTGCAAGACAGAGGATTTGGGAGTATTTTTGTAGTGTACCTGAAGTCAGTGAAAATAAAATGATATTCCTTTTTGAATGGCATGTATCCTGCTTTCTGTTTTTAGAGAAGTTATTCCCGTCTGTAAGCAGGTTAGCTCTTGTTAGTGGAACAGCCCGTGTGGGATGGAGTTGCTTGCTTTGACTGGCTCTGCCGTTCAGTATGGATTAAATAAGGGCAGGCATCACGTGGGTAGTACAGAGCATTTGTCTTCTCTGAGTTATAATCCACTATCATCTCATTTCTGTTCCTGCTCAGCCCTCCGAATGTTATTGTCATTAATATGAATGGCTTCATTACATACAGTTTTTACAGCTTCCCAGATTTCAGCAGATGTCTGACTTAAGAAATATATTCTCCCTCACCTTCCTTCATTAACCAGAGGAACATTAGCAGTCAGTCCACTCCAGCCACTGGGAATAGTAATTAGTGCTTTAGTTTAGTGGTAATGGGATTATTACTTTTGAGCCTGCTGCTGTAGGTTTTGATGTTGTAAGCTTTTCATATTTTACAGCTGATTGTTCTTCCCTGACATCTCCATCCTTCTGCTGTTGAGTCTCCAAGGGACGAGTAAGCTCAGGAGCCATTGGATTCAGCTATTTTGACAGTGTTGCTCTCCCAGTTGCTTGCTTTCATTTGAAATCTAAAGCAAACTTGGGTGGAAGTGCTCCCTTCCCATTCAGAAGTTTGCCAGGCTACTTACAGTTAATTGGGCATTATGGGGTTTGTAGCAACTTTAGAAAACAATAGCTCATGTTATTTTTTTGGGTTATGGAATATAACCTTGAAAATCAAGCCTTAAGATTTCTACATCTTAATATGCGAATTAGCTGTTCTTATTCCTTCTACAAAAAGAAATCTTTAATAAAGCTTCTTAAACATGAAAAATTCTTCCCTAGCCCTAGTTATCTTATGTTGTACAATGATTATTTTCCATGTAAACGCATCTCAATTAACTTCTGTGCTGTCAGAGCTTTGTACAATCTGATGTAGTCTGACGAATCCAAGTCTCTAACCCAAGTGACCGCTCATCTGAGGTCCCTGATTCTGAATCTGCTCTGAACACCAAGTTCAGGATTCAGTTTTTAGTCTACGTCTAACTGGAAAACCACGGATGTACTTCACATTGGCAGCTCTACAGTGCCAGCTCCCCAAAGCGCTGTGGACTAGAAGGAACCTTTCTGATGGCTGCATTGGTGCCTAGGAACAGTAGATTTGGTGCTTGTCAATACAAAACTTAAATATAAGCAGGGACATTCTGGTCCTAATGAATTTATTATATCTGATACGCTCATGGAAGAGGCTGACTATCCTTACACACGTTTGCAGGAGAGATCTTTAGAGTTAAGTGGTCTTGTTGGAATCCTTCCTATTTGTCATGATACTGCCCCTTGAATGAAGAGACCTAATTAACAAGTGCTTAAAGAAAAGTCAATATCTAAGGATAGAAAAAGAAGGACAGAAGGCTTGACTTAGCACGAGATGTCAGTTAAAATGCTGCCTTGCTTCGTCAGTGAGGTGGAGTTCTCTCCACTGAGACTGGGTAATTGGCAGCAGCTGATAACACTCAAGAGCTGTAGACACCAACGCAACACAGGGCAAGTGCTGGACTCTTCTCCGTGCCCAAGGGGAGATGAGTGAAGCCGTGCTGTTGACTGGCATTTACCCGTTAGGAGAATACAGAGGCATTTAGCCTCTCTGCATTGAGTCCAAATGGCTTAAGCTGTGAGATGGGTTAAACCCGAAATTTGTGTTGTATACCATCAAACACAGGGATCAGAAGATGGGAAGCTCTGCTGGGTACTGAATCCTCCTGCCCTGCCCACCTTGCAGGGAAATCATGAGGAAGGGTGGGATTGCATCGCCACTTGCTGTGTGAGGACTTCTCTCCCATCTCATTAGAGTACTGCCATCTATCGACTGCCTTTAGTAGAGCCTGATTTATTTTGTTCTCTGTGCAAATATCCCAGGCCAAGCAGAAGTCCAAATTACCAAAGAACTTGTCCAAAAGAGCTGGACTAAGTGATTGGATCAAGAAACCAGAACGATTTCTTGCTGTTAGTCTACCTCACTGACTGTGCAAGGAGCCTCCTTCCAAATAGAGTGAATTAATATAACATTATGTAGTCTGAATATTTTTAAATGGTTTAAAAATGGCTCTTTCTTACAAAGCTGTGTCTAAGGAAGCATCTGTGTGCTCTCTTTTACCCCAAAATGCTAGACAGGGTTTAGAATTTTCTTCTCTCCAGGCCTTTAATCCTCAGTTCTACTGTCAATCATTTGCTTTCCAGGATCTCAGAAAACACTTCTGTGCTGCTTCTGGTTGAAGCCACATTGGCTGCAAAAAAAAAAACAACCCTAACCAAACAAAACCCAAGCACATTGCAGCTATGAGCTCCATGATCAGGCTGCCCATGCATGGAGTTGTGTTGGATTGGAAGGGAAACAATTCTCAGAGAAGCTTCAAAGGCCAAACCCAGTGGTGCAAACACACTCTTCACCAGCTCGTTGTCAGCCAGGAAGAT